AAAAGAAAAAAAAATAAAGTAACTTTCAAAAAAAAGAAAGAAAAGCAAATGAAAAATAATAGTTTTCAACTTCAAAGAAAAAAGGTTTTACAGTAAGAGAAAAACATACCCATGGCTTGGCTCATTAGCCAACAGTACTTAGTAATGTAACCTGCTGATCTAATAAAAAATAAATAAACTGAGATATTAGATAAGAACAGGTATTTAATTTGCAAGTACAATTTCTTTTTCTTTTTTTTTTTTTTGAGACAAAGTTCTGCTATGTAGCTCAGGCTGGTCTTGAACTTGCAATCCTGCCTCAGCCTATTGAGTGCTGGGATTATAAAACTGCCACCACACCTGACTTTTTTTTTTTTAATATAGTACTTGTGTTGGTTTGGGGCACTATTTTTGCAAAGAAACAATATATCACAGGACACATATTTTATATGATTGTTTTTATTTTAAAAATAAAAACGAAAACACATAGTCACTCAAAGAACGATATTCAAAAGAGTGCAGGAAATTTGTCCACACACTAAGACCAAGGAAACCAGCTGAGGGCCTGTATCCCACGGAAATGTCCTACATGAGTCCAGCTGAAGACCTAGAGCTCATAACAATGCTTCCCACAAATCCATCTGGAGGCCCAGAGCCCACGACGAAGTCTTGTGCAGGCCTATTTCACGGATCTGCACTGGGAAGGCCCAAAGGTCAGTGGTAGAATCTAGGAAGTCTGTGCCATTGGGATGAAAGATCTGTGCTAGCAGGCTGAGGGATCTGTGCTAGAGCCAGGAAGCAACGCTCAGAAGAACCAGAGCTCCCCCAAAAGGTACCACAGCCATCCTCAGCAACAATGAGGTCCCAACCTCCTCCAGTGATCTAGATGGCCGAGTTCCCATCAGGGAAGCCAATGCAGCAAACTTCTCCAGGAGACTGGCAGTGCACCATCCTCCCCTCTGAAGTCAGGAAGTGATGCTCAAAGTGAGGATCAGATCTCCCCCAAAGTGAACCAAAGCCATTCTCAGTGCCAACAAGGTCCCAAGCTCCTTGGAGGATGAAAACAGCCAACTTCATCAGGAAAACCAGCATGATGAACTCCTCCAATAGAACCAACAGCACCTTACAGCTTCTACCAACTCCCAACAGCCTCACTTCTTCCTCTCCAGTCCCACCTCTTCTGCTGCTCACAACAGTCCCGAGGTGGGCCTCCCACAGCCGTAACCATGCTTAATCAGTTCAGCTGTGTGTTATAAATTGACCACAAGTTATCAATCCACTATGGTGCTGAAGATGGAACCCAGGGCTTTGTGTATACTCAGTAGGTACTCTACTGCTGTGTTACATCCCCAGTCTGTATTTTGTTGTTGTTCTTTTGTTTTTATTTTTGTTTTTTTTTGGTACTGGGAATTGAACACAGGACCTTGAACTTGCTGGAAAGGCACTGTGCTGCTGAGCTATATCCCCAACCCCTCCAGCCTGTAAACAGAATAATGTTTACAAGTTTTGCTCAGTGTCTGCATTTCTAGAGGAATGTATTGGATTAAATTATAGTTTATATAGTATTAGCAGAGCCTGTTACTGTTTCAGGTAATTTTCTGCAAATGTCCTGGGGACTAGTCCTTGGTTACACTGTGGCTGGAGGACAGTAGTGGGCCTGGATCTGGGTGGTTCCAGGGCAGCCGGAACTCCACAGTGAAACCGTGTCTCTAAAAGACATAAATAAATGAATAGATAGATAGATAGATAGATAGATAGATAGATAGGACCTGGCCCTGAGAGGGTAATGTGTTAAGTCAAAGGTGCAGTGGAGACCTCAGAAGTTTGAGAAGCCGGGAACATGGATCATCTGAGAAAAACTGCAAGGAGGAATCAGAGCAGCCAGAGAGAAGCCACTGAAAAGAGCTACAGCCAGGAATATAGCTCAGCGGCATAAGCGCCTGCTGGCAAGTGCAAGGTCCTGAGTTTGATTCCTGGTACCAAAAACAAAAAACTTAAAAAAAGAAAAAGAAAAGAGCTACAACCACCAGAAGTATTGTAGGGGTGGAGCCACCAAGCCCTTTGGAGATCACAATTTGGCACAGATTGCCCCAGATGCTGCACATGGAACTACCGGGCTTAATGTTTACTCTGCTGGATTTTGAACTTGTTTTGGTCTCATTCCTTTGTATCCCCATTTGTAACTTTTGGAATGGAAATGTCTATCTTGTGCTATTGAATGTTGGAAGTGTTTCAACTTTCTTTTCATTTGTACAGAGGTTCGCAGCTAAGAGTTTACCTTAAATCTCAGAAGAGACTTTGGACTTGGACTTTTCAGCAATGCTAAAACTGTTAGGACTTTGGCAACTCTTAGAGATGGACTAAATGCCTTTTGCATAAAGGAATGTACATGAGTCTGGCAGGCCAGGGGCAGAATGTTATGACTTGTGTCTAGATGTCCCCCAAAAGCCTCATGCACTTTTAGATGGGGCTTTTTCAGAGGTAGCTGGATCTAAACTGTGGGGTTGATTCATGGTTCAATGCTGGGATTAAGGGTGTGAGTGCTACACCTGCCCTAGTGTGGGTAGCCTGCATACAATATATGGGACAGAAAGAGGCTTGTTCTCTCTCTTGTTGCTTTTGCTGTCTTCTGCTGCCATGAACTGTTGCCCCTCCACAATGTGCCACCCTGCCTTGGAGCCAGCCGATAATGCCGGGCATGGTGGCAAATGCCTGTAATGCCAGCACTCGGGAGGCTGAGGCAGAAGGATTGTTGCAAGTTCAAGGCCAGCCTGGGCTACAAAGTAAATTCAAGGCCCGCCTGAACTGCATAGCGAGACCCTGTCTCAAAAAGACAAAAAAAAAAAGAAAAAAAAATGGAGCCAGCTGGTAATGAACTAAAACCTCCACAAACTGTGAGCTAAATAAACTTATCCCTCTTTAAAATAAAGAAGTGGACCTAGAACTCAGTGTAGGACTTGCTTTCCCCCTGTTGGTCCCACAGGGCTTCCCATAGTACTTACTACTTGCTGGACCTTGCACTGTGCTGGCCCAAGGGCTAGCTTTCTACCCCATACTTCATTTCTTCTGCACACACAGAGCAGGAGAAAAGTCAACGGGTGCACAGAGAATAAAGAAAAGTAATAAGAAAGCATAGAGTGATGTTTCACAAGCTGGTTTATCTGCACATTTTTCTTTTTTTGCCAGTCACAGGCTAGTTTGTTTACAATATTTTTCTTTTCTTTTCTTTTCTTTTTTTCTTTTTTTTTTTTTTTTTTTGGAGACGTGGTCTTGTTAGGTACTTCAGGCTGCCCTTGAACTCATGGCAGTTTTCTTCTGCCAGGTCCTTCCACCATGACATTTCTGTCTCACCACAGGCATACGAGCAATGGAGCTGGCAACCAGGACTGAAACCTCTGAAACCATAGGCCACAAAATAAACCTTTCCTCTTGTAAGTCATTATCATCAGGATTTTTTAAAAATTTATTTTGCTATACTAAGGATTGAACCCAGGGTCTTGGGCATGCTAGGCAAGCACTCTACCACTGACCTCCAATCTCAGCCCACCATCAAATAGTTTGTCCCTGCAACAGAAGGCAGACTAATATGATACCACACTAGACCCCACCTCTTAAAGCACCTGTGTGAACCTTTGAGAAATACACTTAGACCATATCCAAACCATAGCAACTTCTTTATCTTCCTATAGCACTTTCTTTGAGTTTCCCTCATATCATTTGCCAGTTCTTGTATCAACTGTTCTTTGTGAGCTCCATGTGGAGATGGATTATACCTCGTTCATTGTTTTTAACCCCAGGGCCTTGGACATGGCATTTATGTTGTTTTGTTTTGTTTTTGAGATAGGATCTTGCTATGTAGTTAAGGTTGGCCTTGAACTCATTATGTAGCCCAAGGTGGTCTCAAACTCACAGTGATTCTCCTGCCTCAGCCTCTAGGATGCTGAGAATACAGGAGAGAACCACCACACTTGGTGAACATAGCATTTATGAAAACTTTCTGGATGAAAATGCTATGGACTGGCTGGGAGGGGAGGGTTGCAGCTCAGTGATAACACTACTTGCCTAGCATGCATGATGCCCTCAGTTTGACCTTTTAAAAAAGGAAAATGGCCAGACATGGTGGTGCACACCTGCAGTTCCAGCTCTTGGGAGGTGGAGAGAGGGGGATTGTGAGTTCGAGGCCAGCCTAGGCTGCACAGTGAGCTCAAGACCAGCCTGGGCTGCACAGTGAGCTCAAGACCAACCTGAACTATATAGCAAGACCCTGTCGCAAAAACTAAAACAAAACAAAAAGAAGAAAACTGCTTACCTAATGGCAGCCAGGAAGCAGAGACAGACAGACAGAGACAGACAGAGAAGAGGCTGGGAACAAGATAGAGTGCCAGGGTTGCACCTCCATGACCCATTCCCTTCAACTAGGTCCCAACTTCTAGGTTTCCATTACTGCCCAGTAATGCCATGAAGTTATGGATCCATCAGAGGATTAATCCACTCATGATGCAGTCATCTTCCCAAAGCCTATCACCTGGCAAACAAGTCCCTGTTACGTGGACTTGGGGGTTCATGTTTTTAAAAACGTTGGTGTTTTTGAGAAAGGCCTTGCTGTGCAGTTCAGGCTGGCCTTGAACTCACTATGTAGCCCAGGCTGACCTCAAATTCACAGTGATCCTCGAGCCTCAGCCTTGCAAGTGCTGTGATTTCAGGCATGCACCACCATGCCTGGCTATTTGGGGGTTCATTTTAAATAGAAACCATAACATATCCTGGAGTCTCTGGGGTTGCCCTCAGAAGGAAGTGGTAGATCTGTCTGCCTATGTGATTCCTGACCCATGTTCCTGCCACAGTGCCATACAGAGGGAGGCTCCTGACAGTGCTGCAGTCTAGCATCATGCCCTTAAATCCAGAGGTGGAAATAAATACACCTCTTTTCTTAAAAGTACTGTGCCTATCTCAGTGTTTCATTCTACTGATGAGTAACAGGCAAACACGGAGGGTACTTTTAGCGTGGGTGAGTGAGGCCCTGAGAGGTCTGAAGAGCAGCTGCCTTTGAGATGACCTGTAACATTTAGGCACAGAGAAAGAAAGCATCTAGTGCATCTGAGGAATAATTATCCCTCAAGGAAATTCATATTTCAGTGTCCTTAAATGTAATTTTTATTATATCATTATTGGAAAATAAAGTACAATAATTATACAGACCTTATACAAACATGAAAGGGTGTTTCTATAATAGTTTTCATTAATGTTGGTGTATCTTTCAATCAAAAGAAAAGTTTCTACCTTTCAGAGTGCTTCTCAAAGAATCTTTTTTTTTTTTTTTTTTAAAGACAAAGTCTCTCTGTGTA